CGCAACCGACACATTTTCCTACATCGTTCAACTGGCTTCACGTTTCCATTTTCCTACATCGTTCAACTGGCTTCACGTTTCCATTTTCCTACATCGTTCAACTGGCTTCACGTTTCCATTTATCCTACCTGCGCAAATCGACCTCCAGCCCTCAGAAAAGGACCAAAACGGGTGGAAACGGGTCCGCATTCTCGTACATCATGCGTCAGTCTCATGTCTCTTTGACGTTGGTTGCCGGGATCCGGATCCGGTCTCGACCCGTGTGGTTCAGCTTTCAGTCCGTAATTTGAGGGTGTTGTACATTCCATGTGAATTGAATGGGTGAGAAGAAATCGTGGTGATGTTGCGATGTGGTGCGAAAGGCCCACCTGACCAGATAGCATGCATGCGAAGCCTCGTATACAGCATAGCTTTTAAAGAACTGCGTTTGCTGTGGTGTAAAAAGTGCATGGACCAGTAACAGTGTTGGTTAAGATAATGACTTGTAGAGAGAGTTGGCTCGGACAGAGCCTCTCAAGCGGAAAACGTTATCATAGTTATCGTTTGACTCGCCCAAGCTGTCGCCTCGCCCATAACCACGGGTAATTAGGCTCGCACTTAATTATCAAGCAATCATATTCGCACTCTAAGGGGTATCCCACCTTTTTTGTACTTTCGCTGATTGTTACATCAGACGCACGTACGATTTCATCAGTCATACCAGCTTTTTCGAAATGCTTCCGAAAAGCTTAGAATTTATATTTGAAGTAGCCGGTCATTCGGAAGAAATCCCATTTGACTCCCTGCTCACCACTATGAAAGTATTACATTTAATTTGCCTAGTTTTTCAAATGTGTATGCTTTGTTATGTTCAGGGGCGGATCTAGGATTTCGTCAAGGGGGCACGCAATGTTGTGGGGCCCTCTAGAGTTTGGAGTCCCCTCCAAAAAAATACCCTCGCATTCCGGTCATTGAATTTGAAGATAAGCTGTAAATAGCGCATACATATATACATACATGCATACATATATATATATATATATATATATATATATATATATATGTATATATATATATACATATATATATATAAATGCACACATATATGTATATGTATATATATATATATATATATATATATATATATATATATATATATATATATAGTAAATATGGAACCCATCTGTCTGTGTTAAAGCTAGGCATGATACATGGAGCTCATCCATTCTCTCCAGATCACGTTAATTCCTGTGATTTAGAGGCCAAGTGTTTCGGAAAAACAGGCAAAATGAACTCAAATCGGCTGCCACGTCCGCTCAAAAGCAACCACGGACTCGATTCCTGGCTTATTTACGGCTAGGTGGCTGGGTGATGTAATTAGCTGGTGACTGATAACTATTTTGTAATTTTATATTTGTTTATTATAAAGGAGCACGAAATATTCTAGCACCCAAAATATGCTTAGAATGTGATGCACGAGTTTGATAAGTGTCACACTTAATCGCCAAGGGAAATGAAGCGACGTCTGAGTCACGTAAAACTACCTTCGACAATTGTGCGCAGAAAGTCATCGGCACATACGCGACTGCTGCTCTGAGGCTAAGGCACCAAGGCTAAAAGGGACGGAACCTGACCGAACCTGGGTGCCCTGCAAGGTCAACAAAGAGGCTCCTTTCAACAAGTAATGGGTCCTGGGGACAAGTGGAAAGAACCTAAGACCAGCGTGGTGGGCCCCTAAACGATCGGTAGTGCCTTGGTAGGCTGACATATAAAGCCCCGACCGGAGCACAGGACCCTCTGAGCAAAGGGAACCATGTAAGACCATGAATTGATACCCCCTGGCGATCAAAAGTGCCCCTGCAGGTTAACAAAAAGGACCCGACAGGGGTAAAGAGTCATTCGCAAATGTGATCAAAGGGAAAGAGCCCTCGATCAAAGGAGAGGGGCCCTGAGCATCGAGTGTCTCGACGCCTTACCGCATATGAGCCCCAGCAACAGCACAAGTCCCTCCGAGCAAGCGGAAAGAACCCAAGACTAATATGCTGCTGAGCAGCTGAGTGTATCCTGACATATGGAGCCCCGGAAAAACCATATAGAGCCTTTCGGGTGAATGGGAATAATTCGTGGAGGGCTCCTGATTGATCAAGAGTGCCCAGGCGTGAAAGCAGATAGTGTCTCAACAGCAGCGTTGGGATCATGTGCGCTAAATTAAAAAGTGTTAAGAGATCAAGGGTAACGTGGAATGCTCCTTGGCAATCAGACTGACCAGGTAGGTGGTCATATATGGCCCGGACAACAGCGTAAGGCCTATGGAAAGCATAACGAGCCGCACAGTTTCCCTCAATCACCACCCTTCAAATCCTCAAATATTTTAAGTTGTTTACTTACGTTTGCAATCGTTGTATGTCGTCTGTGGGCCCAAACACATGCAATTTTATTGTGTTTTTTGTTAGAAAGCTGGGTCTGTTCAGCCAGTTATCGGTCACTTCGAAGCCTATGGGTCTCCTCTGCATTGTCCATGGGGCATGGTCCAGTGCCTCCCCCCCCCCCCCTCTGTATCTGCCAACGACCCAAGCAGCTTAGTAGATGGGACCCGCCAAAAACATAGGGCCATCCATTCAAGTAAGAAACATTCAGGACAACATGGAGGCCCCCGGAGTGGTCGAGTGCGTAAGAGCAGGTTAACAGAAAGGCCCGTCAAGAGCGTAAGGCCCTCTATTCAAACAAGAAGTACCCAAAACACAATTCAAATGGCCCCCGAACGATTTCATGTGCACAAGCAGATTATCAGAAAGGGCTCGACAAGAGCGTAAGGCCCTTCATTCAAGTAAGGGGTACTCAAAACTCAGTGCGGAGGATCCCCGAAAGATGAAGTCCACCCGAGCAGATTGTCAGATGGCCCCCGACAGGAGCGTAGGGCCCTAAATTCAAACACCAAGAGCCGATGTACAGTCCCCTGAACAATCCAGTGTAACCGAGGAGGCGAACGGAGGGGGCCCGACAAGTGCTTAAGGTCCTCCACTCAAATAGGAAGCACCCAAGACACAATGTGGGACCCCCGAACAATTGAATGTGCCCGAACAGGATGGGGCTTTCGACAAGAGAGTAGGGCCTCCCGTTCAAGTATGAAATACCCACGACACAATGTAGAGGCCCCCCCCGAATTATCGAGTGCGCCAGCGCCGGTTAACAGATAGGGCCTCCGTCAAGAGCGTAGGCCGCTCCATTCAAATATGAGGTACCCAAGACCCGATGTAGAGGTCCCCCAACAATCCAATGTGTCCGAGCAGCTTATCAGAAGGGGCCCCGACAAAAGCACAAGGCCCTCTATTCAAATAAGAAGTACCCAAAACCCAGCGCAGAGAGCCCCGAAAGTTGAAGTGTACCCGAACAGGTTGCCAGTTGGCCCCGATAGGACCCAAAGTAGTAGACCCAGTAAGGCCCCAAATTCAAACACCAAGACCCAATATGCAGGGCCCCGAACAATCCAGTGTCGGTGAGGAGGTGAACAGAGGGGCCCCGTGACAAGCGCGCAAGACCCTCTATTCAAAAAGGAAGCACCCGAAACCCAATGTGGAAGGCTCCCGAGCGATCGAATATGCCCGAGCAGGTTTTCAAATAGGCCCCCAACAAGAGCGTCGGGTCCCCTATTCAAGTACCGAAGAACCAGTGTGGAGGGCCCGCGAAGGATCGAGTGTGCCCGAGCAGGCTATCAGATGGCTCCCGACAGGAGCGTAGGGCCCCACATTAAAACGCCCAATGTGTAGGCCCCCCCCCCCAAAAAAAAATTCAGTGTGTCAGAGCAATGACATACGGCGCCCTTAACAAGTTAACGTATAGTGTGTAGAGCCCTCCATTCAACTATAAAACACCCGAGACCCGATTTGGTGTGTCCAGAACGACCCATGTGCTCGATGAGATTAACAGATGGGCCCCGACAAGAGTGAAGGGCCCTAAGCAAGTGTCAGAGTATTGGAAGCTCCCTAGAACAATGTAGGGGCCTATGAGCATATCGTGAGTTTGTCGGTAGGTTAACCGAGGCCGTCAGAAAGGGCGCCTGCGCAACCGAGAATGCTCCGGCAGGTTAACGTGTGGAGCCCCGGCTACAGCGTACAGAGCCTTTCCGGCGAATGGCAAAAATCTGTGGAAGACCCCTGATTGACAAGAGCGCCTCGGCACCCTAGCAGGACGGGCCAGCAAACACCGCAAGGACCCGCGAGCAAGTACTAAAAATCAAGGGCAAAGTGGAAGGCTGCTTAAAAATCAGAATGACACGCAAGTGAGCACATAGCCCCCCCCCCCCTCCCCCCGAAACGGCAGCATAGGCCTGCTGGACAGCATAATGAAGCCTAAATTCGCAAAGAACAGTTTTTTAATCATTGAAGTTTTGTTTTTGTCCACTCGCGGTTCCTTTACTTTCGTTTGCGACTGTTCTTGGTCGCCTGCAAGTCCAAACACACCCAATTTTGTTGCATTTTGTGTTAAAAAACTGCACCTGTTCGACCAGCTATGGGCCTCTTCGGAGCCAATGGACCCCTTCGAGGCCCAAGGGGGCATGGCCCCGTGCCCTCACCTCCATCATTTGGATCCACCCCTGGTAATGTTTGCAACACACTTAAGTGTCAATCACATAAGTCACCCTGGGCCAATCACAAACGCCCTTTTGTTCACACCAGTAGAGGTGCGCACGGTGGCGGCCATGATGACGGCGTTCGCGACTGCAGGGAAGAAACGTATTCCTGGTACAAAGCCTTGACAGAGCAATTCAGATACAAAAATAATTGAAATTGATATTCTGTTTTTCTTGACGGCACCGTAGTGGTGCATGGTCCATACGCTGCCAATACTACTATCAGACGTAAAAAGGCCTGAGGTTTCACTAGAAAATATTTTTTTGAATTACGCCCCAAAGCTCAGACGCTCCCTTTAACCAATTAGGCAATCAGGTTCGCAATTCCACAACCATGCGGCCTACGCATAGTCAATACGGTGTACAAACGGCTAATTTAACATGGCCCGTGGATCGTTTCACTTATATTTTCAGGAGAGCAATGACAGCGCTAATATCGATTGGCACAACGGCAACATAATGCAAAGGCGCGTATGACTTAACTTTCTCGACGCCCCAAAGAGCATGCTGTCGCAAGGCGTGAGCTCCGGAGATACGGCAAACGTGAGGGTTTCCGTGACAATGACTTCAACATCACGTGTCAAGTCTGTCGAAGCTCACTCTGACACAACACCAGCGCAGGTGCAATACGCAACTCCACGTCGTACAGAACAAGGGAAAATCGATAGTGCCCCTGTGACATGATAAAGTGCACAGCAGTAGCTGGAATGTATGCAGTTGGCAATAACACATGCTCTCGATGATCTGGACATTCAGCGCACAAAAAGCACAAGGATAAAAGTGCTCAGGCAGGCCATGCATGCAATCATGCATACATGCATGCACGTGTTAATTCCTGCAGCAAATCACATTAATCAATCGCAACGATTATCATAGCGTTGGGGACCTCGACCGGAACACAGCGAGCACCAATGCAGCCAAAACCTGTAGCAGCTTTGCGTGTTTCATACCCTTCAGACTTTCGTCATAAATCTACCGCAACGTATTTGAAGGGAACGCTTGGCTTAATGACGAGCTTCGGTTTCATTTCGCCCAGGAATGGCCAAGCGAGCATAGCGAGCTCCATCAGCAAAACAGACCCTACTTCGCTGTCAAAGGGGTCCTTCTTTGGGACTAGGAACATTATTAGGTTTGGGGGTCCATACGGATGCTTTGAGGGCCCATTTGAATAATTCACAATACCCTTACTGCCGTTTTGAGCAGTCACAGCCCCACCACTTTTAACTTCAGTCCCTCCACCCCCAGGTGGAGTCATGGTCCCCAAAGCCTCTTGGTTATGTTATTGACGAGTTTTGAACTGAAATTCACATCAAGTGTTGCATGTTGCGTGATCATATGGTGTGCACAGTCAGATGCTATCGGCAAGACAACCACAGGTGTCCAGTAGTGACGACGGTAAAGCTAGCTCACCATATTTAAGCTTCGTGCAGATTTTGAGTTGGCAAAAGAGCACTAGTGTAAAATTAATTTCACTAAGGACGCTGTCATTGGAAGGAATTTTTCCAAAACAACAACTGGTGGCATGATAGAGCAGGCAGCTTAGAACCCATCAGGCACGCAGACAAATTCGTTACTCAGCTAGCGCTGATGCCAGTGTAAAACAACCCATAAACAGGCCACCACACAGCGGAGCACCGCCGCCTGCCTCGGCACAAAATCCTCGCAGCGTAGCACGCCATCGACCGTTGCGTGGGTAGATCGGCACACGCCACGAGAGCCCGCGTCCCGGGCAGCGCTGCGCACCGGCACCGGGCATCGACGGGCGCGCCGTCCCAGCCAGAGTTCGTGCCAGCATACTTCACGAGCGACGCAAACAAGCGTAGAGCGAGTCAGAACACACGAGTTCAACAGCGATTTAACAGGAGCACGGTCTTCAGTCCAATGGCGTGGTGCGATCGACGGGACGTGCCCTGCGTGCCCAGTCATGACTCTGTGCGTCTACAGTCTCTCCTCCAGCGCCCCGTCGGCCCACAAATGCCGTTTGCTCATCGGACGGGCGACGGACAGCGCACTTAGCACGGATTGTCGTGGGTGCTCTTGTCGGGGTTGCATGGCGTCGCCTTGCCGCTGTCACCGTTCGACTCCGCCGTTTCGATGTTGTCACCTTGCTGGACATCGGTCATGTGTATGTTGCTTGACTGGGCATTCCCATTGGTTCCGGAGCTGCTGGCCCCAGTTGTCTTGGTCCGGGAGGAGGGCGGCTTCTGTCGGCCAGGAAGAAGGTTCAGACGATACATGGGGTCGGTGAGACCGCGGCCTGTCGATAGCGCCAGAGGCTCACTTGCCGTCGGAGATGACGACCACGAGAGCACACGCCTTCACGGTGGTATAGTCATGATCGTGCACCGTAGACAACTGCAATTTACTTTGGCATATTAGTTGCACGGCTGAAACAGTCCAGATGTGACAAGAACACGTTTTCACATACGCGCTGTTTCTGTGCATACATACCATGGCAAACCCGCGTACTCGCTCGTCCTTTCCTGGTGGATGGATAAGGCCAGCAGATGGATTGAAGCCCCGCTTGGTGAGCTCCAAATATCTGTCTTTGATTGTCCGGCGTGAGGAGGAGCGAACGATGAACAGAAAGAAGATCACAATTCCCTGGGAGGCGTTGAGGATGTCCGTGAAGTACCTTGAGGGTGAAAAGGAAACACCTAGTGTAGATAGCGACGTGATTAGTAATACGCAAAACTTGATAAAACGCGCAATGGGAGCTACAAAACCACAGGGCAGTGCGGCATGAGGCGAACGCATCGAAATTCCCCGTAGCAAAATGCACCTCACTGACAGCCAATTAATTATAATCATGAATAACCCGATAAATAACATAAATGACGGTTCACATTTGCTCTTTTGGATGTCGCGTACCCACCCACCATGTCTACGGGGAATTTAAAGTGAAAAATTCCTTGCTCCGCGCATTAGCTGGCATAATGTGATGTGATTTAGATCGTTCGGCAAGCTAGCAGCGGACAAATGCGGGGATCTTCTTCGATTCCGTAAGCTGAGTTCTCGCGAAGCGCCTTACACATATTGTTGATCGCACAGCTCAGAAACAGCTGCAGTAAAATTACAGTGCCCTGCGAAATGCGACGGTGGACCTTGACTTTAATTAGGAGTATAAGAATTAAAAGCCAAAGCGCGAAATATTCATTACAATCGAGTGACGGCAGTTAGGGTAAAGTGAGCAGGCCGCAGCTATTCGAGACTGCGAGTCTGAAGAAGACATAATATGAGAGAAAGGAAGACAGGGACAAGAGCAAGCAATACGGAGTGAAGATCAGACACGCAAATTTATCCCATCCACGACCATTAAATCGATTTCCAATCCATACCCTATGAGTTAGATTTCATTCCAACTCCACACCCTGGATGCGGAGTTGTTTCCAATTTCATGTCTGAAGAGGCACAACAGTCCGTAATGCGCCTGTAGTGCGATATGCGGGCTTTATCAACACATATGTTTGAATCAGTGGAAAACCTAATTACACCTGGGTAGCCTGTCACATTAACCCTTTCATTATTGATGTTTCTGAAGCAGGCCTTACGATGACTTCATTGCAAATAATTTCCTAAGCTTCAGCTCAAACTTGCCCACATGTTTTCATGTCGTTTTCACATTGCCCGAAGAAATGGACGTCCCCCCCCCTCCCCTGGAACTGCTTGCGATTATCCCGACATGAAATACAAACACTGGTAGTTTTTTTACATGGAATGCATATCCTGGTGCACACTTTTTAAGACTGGGTGTTAGTAAGCAAGTGAACAAAATTAAAGGAAAGGAAAGCACGCATGCTTATGTATCGATGGAAACCTTACCAGATTTGCTTCGGAGGTATCAGTTCAGACAGACACTCAGCTATCCAGCTGACCTCCATGATGATGAACAGGTTGACGTACACCCTCAGCCTGAAACAGTAATTCTTATATTTCGGTATGTTTTTGTTACCTTTAATAAGGAAGTGTAATTCAGTAGTCACTACAGCGTCCACCAGGTGCCTAGCGCAGAGTTGTATTAGCAGCCTCACATTCTCAGAGGGGTTTAATGCCACCACAAACTTGGCAACGGTACATATACGGTATGCGGGATCAGACAAACTGGTGTCTCTGACACACAAATCACGTGACAGATGCAGGTTATGCACAGAAGATGGGGATAAGGACACTTTTCGCAACACTGTCAAATGCGCACGCATCTTAACAGCTGCCGTTGTTTCCCACATTCATGTGTCTGACACCAGATCTGCCACTTCAACCATCCACCCATGCAAAATTCGTGCACTGCTGTGACCTCATGACCACCTTCTTGCAAGAACACGTCTGAAACAACAACATTCAAATTGGACCTTTCATAATACTTGTACTATTTTCCCACAGACCCGCCTTTGTTACTTCCAGTATCCGGCACTGCAATCTTTGTGTACGCATCACGTGGGTGTCTACCCCAGTCTCCGGCACGTGACCAACGTTTTCGTCAGAGGATAACAAATTGCTCCCAAGTTTGGAGATGAAGATTCCAGAACAAGAAACAGTATCGAAGAATGATACAGTCAGTTTGCGTTCTGTCTTCAGCTGTACCGCTTTGGACGGAAACGAGATCACAAGGAAAGATTCCAGAATGTGCTCGCCTCTCACAGGACCCCTGCTGCAACTCAACTAAAAACACTGTTGGGAAAAGTACAAGCACAGCCGTACAAACAGGTACCAATATGCGAAGAGAAAAATCCTCATAAAAGAAAATGCACCATATGAATAAGGACAGCAGGTCATAAATTTCAACAGATGTAAAACAATATTCAGCTTTGCCATACCCCAGAAATCGTCTGACTCAGAATGTCTTTGACGCCATTCTTGGCCGAATTTGAATGAATTAATTTCAAATGCTTTTCCCAGGCAGGTGCGATGAGTTGAACTGAATGACGTTGGCACCAGATTAATACTGGATATCAAACAGCGCACGTCCACGATCATCAACGTCGCTGGCCATGCGGCGATCAAGGCCAATACAAAGATGGTTGTCGAGCCGTTCACATCTGGCGTTCGTAAGCACGACTTCAAGATATAACGGCCGTCAGTCGGCTCTCAATCAATGTTGTGCAAGGCACGCTGACACAATCAAGCAATGCCGTATTGCGGAGCACATCCACTAAAAAAAGAAATGATGTTATCTGGAGCAGCCTTTTCCACTTAAAAGTATGCGAGTAGTTATATGTGAGTTTATTTTATCACATCTGATGCTTCATTATATTTAAATAATGGTCATTTCCTTTGAAGCTACTCCGAGGCGTTACAACCTGCCACATTGTCTGACGACGTCAGGGTTAGGCATACGAGAAATGCTGCGGAAACGGTCTCAACAGGCCGGAATTTCAGCGACACCATCAGAAAGAGTGCACTTGCACAATTCGTTTGCGCAATATCAGCAAGATGCCCGATGCTACACTGACCTGGCCGTCTAAACGACCGAGACCACATTGGAACCTTCACTATCTCCCGCCCGCCATGGTGGCTCATAGTATCCATGCAAACCTGAAGGATACACCGCACAAACATGAGCCGTGGAAAGAGCAGTCCAGTTTGTCACTGATGCGGCTCTGCCCGCGCCACACCGCGGTAACATCGGGTCTTCTGTTCCAGAAGACAAAAGATGGGGTGCGGTCAAAATCTGGTGTTCTTTTTTTCGCTATACTTTTATTGGCCATGCGGTCGCTCAAGTTGTATAATAACCGTGAGGCAACACCTTGTCTCCACACGCAGCACGCGCCGGACCTTGCCCAGCACAGCAGGGCGGGGAAGCAGGTTTGTTCTGACGCTGTTTTACCGGCGCTGGTCTCACTCAGTGTACGGAGGTTGCCTCTCACATATCCGAACAGTCAGATTGTTTAGGTCAGTAGATTTAAAGGATGAGGTGTAAGCAAGCGTAGGTCATTTTTTACAGCAGAATGATCTGACCCTCTCTACTCCATAGGCGGAGCATACATTCTGTGTAGCCAGAATTTCGTGTGCTCCAACACCGGCCCCATTCTTCCCAGTCAGACTATTGTTTTCTGGTTGTTGGTCCCGAATGGGTTGAAAGCTGTTGCTTAAGCATGATATCAAGGGTCTTCACTGATCATAAAATGACCACTTGTTAGTGCGAAGGGCACATGTCCGCATACGTCCGCATGCTACTTATGACGATACACCGTTGCACTTCCATAAAGGTATTCGAATGAGCACTGGACATTTGCGTTTCGAAGGCTGATACTGCTTCGAACGGGATCGATCTTCAGTGGTCAGGCTACAGGCTCGCTCTCTAAGAGCACATTTTGACGGCCTGAGTCGTCCAACTCTTCTGCTAGTTTATGACCAACTTTGTGGACTATTGACTCAACAATGAAACTAGATGACGGTGTCAAGTTCTTGAAGATTGAAACTTAATGTCACTGGGCAGTTTTACACAAACACGACACACCACCGAACGCTAATGAATGTGGATTACACGTAAAGGGTAAGGTCATCTTACAGGGATATATTTATACAAGCGTGTGGGTGAACATTTGTATTGTGAAAAACATAAATTTCAGGCGTCAGTGCTCGTTTAATGCAAAAAAGACATGCCTTTGGTACGACGGCCACGGTTTCCTCAGCCCAATCCGGCATTTCTCTGACTCGTCAATGCTCCGTAACACTTTCTCTAATGCTAGGCAACATTCGAAAAGTCTCCAAACAGAGACCGCCTTAAAAACCTTGAATAACTACGTTTCCGTATTTCGAAAGCAGTTCTGAAGCGCAAATTCAATAAAGGGCTACCCTCCGTCGCTGCTTACCAGTTGTAAGGCGTATGCCTAGTTCATGTTTGTTTATGGACCCTGCCAAATGTTTGGATGACTCAGTTCAAGGTCAGAGATAGCGACTCAATGTTGAGTATGTCAACTCCGGCGCAGTTGTCCGGCGCCGACAAGCCAGCGGCAGTTCCGCGGCCTCGCCTCAAACTAATCAAACTAATCACTGCGTCTGCCCGGGCTTGGCGAGCGACCCGGCGGCATCGTATGCCGCGCCGAAGGCAGGACTGTGACTCCACGGTACCATACACCGAACCAACAGCAGGACTGTGACTCCATGGTACCGCACACCGGACCAATAGCAGGGCTGTGACTCCATGGTACCGCACACCGGGCCAATGTCAGGACTGTGACTCCACGGTACCATACACCGGACCAATAGCAGGACTGTGACTCCATGGTACCGCACACCGGACCAATAGCAGGGCTGTGACTCCATGGTACCATACACCGGACCAACAGCAGGACTGTGACTCCATGGTACCGCACACCGGGCCAATGTCAGGACTGTGACTCCATGGTACCATACACCGGACCAACAGCAGGACTGTGACTCCATGGTACCATACACCGGACCAACAGCAGGACTGTGACTCCCCAGTACCGCACACCGGGCCAATGTCAGGACTGTGACTCCATGGTACCGCACACCAGACCTATATCAGGACTGTGACTCCATGGTACCATACACCGGACCAATAGCAGGGCTGTGACTCCCCGGTACCGCACACCAGACCAATATCAGGACTGTGGCTCCATGGTACCATACACCGGACCAACAGCAGGGCTGTGACTCCCCGGTACCGCACACCAGACCATTATCAGGACTGTGACTCCATGGTACCATACACCGGACCAATAGCAGGGCTGTGACTCCCCGGTACCGCACACCAGACCAATATCAGGACTGTGGCTCCATGGTACCATACACCGGACCAATAGCAGGGCTGTGACTCCCCGGTACCGTGCACCAGACTAAAACAGGGCTGTGACTCGATGGCACCGTACACTGGGCCTGTAGCGAGGCTGTGACTTGACGGTACCGCGCGCCGGACCGGAAGGGACTGCGGCTCGACTGACACGATGTTGTCCCACACCGGACAAAAAAGCGTGCATGTCACTCGGGGTAATATATGCCGGACTGAAGACCGGGCAGCGACTCGACCGGACCGCATACCATACAATGGGCTGGGCTACACCTGCACAGCACCTTAGGTCAGGCCACAAGCGGGGCTGTGACTTTAAGTCAGCGTGTACAACACCAAGAGCAGTAATTTAGCTCGACGACACTGTTAAGCTTATTTGGTTAGCTGAACAAATGAGCTAAACGTCACTTTATACCGAACCACCGGTAAGGGGGTGGGGGATGCCTTTAACAACCCCCAGTACCGGACCAGAGACAGGACTACATCCGATTAGTACCACATACTGTACCAACACCATATAGCTGACCAAGACCAGCTTTCTTACATAAGCTGCATGTTAAGCGGTGTTTGCCGCTTCCACCTGAGATGTATTCATGGTCACCTCATGATATATTACGAGTTGATAGAATATCAGAACATGTCGCCTTCCCTCTGCATTATTCGTGCAGTGCGGGGCACGCTGGGCGCTAGAAGCCGGCAGTTCACTGCTCCCAGGGACCCACTGAAGAGTCGCCGGCGTTCCTCCAGTGCGCCCGTGGCTATCGCGGTTTGACTCTGATCGAGTTACGTTATTTAGGGCAAGATGGACAGAGCACGCAAATATTTGAACTGAACTGAGATCAGTCCTGATACACATTGATGATATACGGCACGCATCGTTTTTTTTCAAAGTAACTTATCGATAATATAGTAGTTGCATGCATGGATGTCTTAAGATAGGCAGCACGGCTGGGGATCGGCCCGACAATGCGGGTGCGCACGGCTGGGGATCAGCCCGACGATGAGGGTGCGCACGGCTGGGTATCGGCCCGGCAATGCGGGTGCGCATGGCTGGGATCAGCCCGACGATGCGTGTGCGCACGGCTGGGGATCAGCCCGGCAATGCGAGCGCGCACGGCTGGGGATCGGCCCGGCAATGCGGGTGCGCATGGCTGGGATCAGCCCGACGATGCGGGTGCGCACGGCTGGGGATCAGCCCGACAATGCGAGCGCGCACGGCTGGGGATCGGCCCGGCGATGAGGGTGCGTGAGGTGCCAGACCACCCGACCAGAGAGGAGCTGGCCCATGCAGGGGCGGACTTGGGACGGGCGGGGCATTGGACCATGACCTCCGTGAGCGCCGAAGGCCCCTGCCTTTATGTTGGAGCGTTGATGGCTGACTCGACTGGCTGGGCGGCTAGCCTGCGGCGTTCAATGAGATCCAAAGACCCAACGATACCGCCTCTTAATCCTGCTATGCTTATCGTGCCGGTCGACCACTACCTGTCACCAAGAGCTGCCATTTTTCCCCTTTTTAAGTTTGAAAGCGCGTTGTGACGTCCTGAGTCAAAAGCCCGCACCGGATTCGTCAGGACATGTACAAAAGCACGAAAACCTACAGTTTAAAACTTTCATGTTCACGTAGAAACTAAAAGGCGTTCATAACTGCTAACATCTAATAAAGGCGGTGTTCAGTTCGCGTTTTTTCAGCATATATGCTCAGAGTTTTAATGCTGTGTTATCGACCTTTAATATGCCAGGAGGAATGGTCAATTGGGATTATCGTGCAACATGGTCATATTGATAGCATTCGATATTTCAAGCTGGGCTGAGGCTCACGGGGGCAGGGGTTGAGAAGGATAAGGACATAATTGCACTTGAAAACCAGGGCAGGTAAATTCAGAAATGTCCGGAATCTGTCGAGATACTGTCACAAAAAAATGATAAAAAATGATAGATCATCCGAGCTCCAAATGTTCAGACACTAGGTGCGCGGCTGTACGCTAAGGACTCGATGAAACATGAACAAATCAGCCGTAAGGTTGTAATTGCCCACAGCGAGTATCAGATTAGAAAATTACATGCCACAATCATCAGACACTACGAACGTTGCCCGAACATGCCAGCAATTCTGGATCTTACGTCCTGTCACCCAATTTAGCACCCGCCCAGGCACCCATTTTGGCACCCGTCCTGCCACCCGCTTTGGCATCCGTCCTGGCACCCAATTTGGCACATGTCATAGCACCCACTTTGACATCCGTTCTAGCACCCTATTTGGCACTCGTCCACTCACCAAATTTTGCATCCGTCCTGCCACCCGATTTGACGCGCAATTTGGCACCCATCCCGACACCCAATTCTGCATCCATCCTGACACCCAATTCTGCACCCGTCCTAGCACCCAATTTGGTACCCGTCCTGGCACAGACTCTGGCCCCTGTTCTGGCACTCAGTTTGGCACTCGTCCTAGCACCCAACTGGGCACACGTCCGTGCACCCAATTTGCCATTTCTGCGTGTGTTTCCACCAGAAAATTTGAGTGCATACTTAGTCTTCATGATGTAGTGGATTATCTGAATAAAGGTATGATATTTGCTCCAAAATGCAACGGATGTGTGGCATACAAACTTGGCTTGGTAATATTCACACCCAGCACACTGCCTCCTCAAATCAGCGGCCTGAACACATTTCTTTCTCATCAATTGTCCAAGTTTCGACACGGAGATCCCGCACATTGCCCGAGAGGGGTCCCCGTGCGTCTACGGAGATCCCGCACATTGCTGGAGAGGGGTCCCCGTGCGTCTGCGGAGATCCCGCACATTGCCGGAGAGGGGTCCCCGTGCGTCTACGGAGATCCCGCACATTGCCGGAGAGGGGTCCCCGTGCGTCTACGGAGATCCCGCACATTGCTGGAGAGGGGTCCCCGCGCGTCTACGGAGATCCTGCACATTGCCGGAGAGGGGTCCCCGTGCTGGACCCCTCTCTCGGTAGTGGAGGACTCCCAGATGCATGCAGACTTGCCAGACTGCTATTCACTCTTCTTAATCCCACAGCCTGGAAATGACCATTGCTGGTCTAATGGGCCCCGATCCCACCTAAAACAGACTGGAAGCCTCAGAATAATACAACTGCACAAGAATGCACTGTACATTCTCAACTATACTATACTGATGATGATCTTAGCGGTGTACGTTCAGTGCTCTACGCTGAGCTATCGACCTTTATTGTTCCAGGAGGTGCTGGTTAAACGACGTTATAGTGCTAGCATTGGTTGTAATGACAGTACTCGACGCTTTAAGATGGGGAAATACTCACGAATGACAAGGATTGAGCGAGGTCAATGACAAAATTGCACATAAAAGCTAGAAACTGGTTTAAGCAACGTCTTTTAGTTTACGCACGCCTATAAATAAATCTAAAAGCACTGGTGCCCGCTTATAAATTTATGGCCACAGTAACGGACGTTGTGTTAAAAAATAATCATCATGGGATTAGAAATAGATGCATATTCCTTGTGATGACACCGATACCCGCAAATCTTGTCAACCTCTCCCACTCGCCACTCATGACACTGGATGCTCCAAATTCAGTTAGCGTCTCTTGAAAGTGAATTGATTTTTCCACTCCGTCTGCATGGCCTGGCAAGTTGTAAAATCCGACCCGGTCCCAATCCCCGTATTGTCTAAATGTTGTGATCCGGTTCAGGTTCAGTCCCACCCAGCCTTGATTCCGCCCGCCATCTGCCGATTGATGCAATCCGTAGAGTGCTCTATCGTGTACGGCCACACGCCTCGGTCCGCAATGTCCTAAATGTATCACAGTGGTGGGATTCCGCTGTCTGTGCCGCACGAAACGGCTCGTGTGGCCTTGGCACCGAGCTTTGAGCGTATCTGTGCATGACTGACGAAAGGACGTACGAAAATTATAAAGTAGGTTATGTATAAATTCGTAACGTTCGTTGGGACACATGGGAGACAATTAAGATATCATTATATAGATTATAACACAGCTTCGTGATAGCACTCATTTCATTTTCCCGACGTTGACGAATGAGGTGTCTACCTTTTCATGCCATCCTGGCGTGCGGGGAGATCGGTCTGCCTACCTGTCATCGTGGCGTGTGGGGAGATCGATCTGCCTACCTGTCATCGTGATGAGCGAGGAGATCAATCTTCCTACCTGTCTCGAGCGGTGCGCTTCCGCTGAAGAATTCGTGAGTCTTGGTCAGCTTTGTACAGCTTCCAAGCGGTGGCGAGAAAGAAGACGACGTTGACCCCCGTGATAATGAAGATCGTTATGTAGAAGTAGAGCAGCCCCGCTTTGTGATCTTAAAAAAGAATATTCATGTCGGGAGCGATAGTGGTTGGCCATACATATATTGGACCAAACAGCACACATGATCACATCGCAGATAATGCATCAACACATCAGTCACGTCCCCATTTGTTCACGGAGACATCTCCACCTTTACATCTAGTTCAGTTTCAGTTAAGAGTCATCGATTCGCACGTGAGATTCTCTGCATAACCGGGCATTGCTCCTTTTTTTAATTAAAGGGGGGATTGTTCCAAAAACGTCAGTGGTAGCAGCGGGATGGGTGCGCACTTAGGTATGTATGCTGACCTTAGACCTCAGAAAAAGAGTCAAATAGGCTCATTTTTCGACACACACCCTATGTTTGCATGGTCTGAAGCATACAAATTTTACAAACATGATGCGTCAAACGTATCAAGCAAAGTATTCATGCAGGTATTGGTAGAATATCAGTATGTATCTATGGAACATTCTGTATCTGCGTGCACTACCATATGCGTCCATAGCACAAAAGCATTAATTATCTTTCGAGACTTGCGTTTTTTCAACAATATTAGCTTAGTTAAGGAAATGAATATTTGTCTTTTTTAGGTTTACTGTGTCTTGTGATTTAGCTGCTCACTGTTATTTTTCCAATGCTCCCAAAAACGCCCTTGAAGTCTTTACGTTTCTCTTTAGTGTTCTGTTTATTTGGCTTGTTGACGTCAACCAAGTTGCGCTGCTTCCTACCAGTACCATGGCTATTCGGAGTACTGTTGCTAGGCATCTCAATGTCGCACATACGAAGAAACTGTGGTATGTGGCTGGCGAAACTGAGATGCAGGGCAGGGTCTAGGCAAGGCCGGAACCCTGTCATCAACAAACTGACTGAACATGCGCCATCTCACCCGGCGCCACCGCGCAGCTCTGCTCTGACGTCAGCGTCGCTGAGCACTGGCGCTCAGGCTACAGCCGACGGAGGCGCGCCTCAGGCTACAGCCGACGGAGGCGCGCCTCAGGCTACAGCCGACGGAGGCGCGCCTCAGGCTACAGCCGACGGAGGCGCTCCTCAGGCTACAGCCGACGGAGGCGCGCCTCAGGCTACAGCCGACGGAGGCGCGCCTCAGGCTACAGCCGACGGAGGCGCTCCTCAGGCTACAGCCGACGGAGGCGCGCCTCAGGCTACAGCTGACGGAGGCGCGCCTCAGGCTACAGCCGACGGAGGCGCGCCTCAGGCTACAGCCGACGGAGGCGCGCCTCAGGCTACAGCTGACGGAGGCGCGCCTCAGGCTACAGCTGACGGAGGCGCGCCTCAGGCTACAGCTGACGGAGGCGCGCCTCAGGCTACAGCCGACGGAGGCGCGCCTCAGGCTACGGCCGACGGAGGCGCGCCTCAGGCTACGGCCGACGGAGGCGCGCCTCAGGCTACAGCCGACGGAGGCGCGCCTCAGGCTACAGCCGACGGAGGCGCGCCTCAGGCTACAGCCGACGGAGGCGCGCCTCAGGCTACAGCCGACGGAGGCGCGCCTACGCTCTGCGCCCGCAGACGATGCGCTTATGCTGGCACTAGCTTGGTTCAGCCGACTGGTCACGCTTCGCCTGGTGCTTGGGACACTGGATGGCCTGTATGGTCCACAGGGACCCAGAACCAGCTCGAGGTCCGGTCGAGCGCTGACAGCCGTGATGCTCTTCTCGCCGCCTCCCGCAAGGCCTACGACTCGATCTTGGACGTTGCAAGTGCGACATTTTAGGTCACAGCCTGAGTTCTGGTGAACTGATAGCATATTTGCGGTTATGCTAAAACTAGCCCGGTTCGCGGATGCGCCGAGGAATGCCACGTGGCAACAAAATGCAGAAGCCCTACAGGAAGCCCGGCTGATAGTGGGTGTCTCGCTTCCGCACGAAGAACGGCTGGTAGTGCCTGCACCGTCATCGACGTAGACGGAAACGGCGTCTGCACTGTGGCGGATGCAAGGCACGCCATCGTACCACCACGCGCTGTCGGCATGGAGGAGAGAAATGGCCGCACTTTGCGGATATAGGAATTTTCTGGTGGTTTCTCTGTGAGCCATTTGATTGCCTGCCAACACTAGGCGTTGGAGTTCCCGAGCATGCAAAATTGCTAGCATGATGCTCTATCATATACAGCGATCTGAAGATGAGCGAGATATGTCAAGAAACAGAAAATATATTGTGATCTGATGGTGAGATGAGGGTAAAGACTACAAGCGAATTCATTGCTGAAATTCATCCAATAAGCATGTTTGGCCAAAGTCTGGTCAAAACTGGTCAAACCGAGCAAAAAAAAAAAAACAGTTCACATGGCTTGCGTGGACTGAAAACCAATAAAATTGTACTAATTGCCGTTTCCAGATAGGACTATGGTGCAAAAATTTCTAAAACTTTTGAAAAGTTTATATCTTATTGTTGAATTCAATAATCCTTAAAGTCCGCCTCGCTCCACACAGCATTTTTGTCAACAAAAATGGCGTGACCACCTCCAATGCCCTCGACCGATCCACAACGCTGATTGACTCAAGAAACAAAAAGCTATAAGGCGTCTGTCTTGTATCGTATGATAAACATATTCTTGGTTCGATAGACGTGGTCTAGCTATTGGATGCAAAAGAAATTGCCTGAATTCAATTATTTTCTTGTCGGCGTTCAGTGCCAGCAAAAACTTCCAACAAAAAAAAATTAAGAACTTGAGCGTATCAAAAAACTTCATTGCATTAATCCATTGTAAACAACTAATAAACATCCGTTTTCATGATGAATTCATGTATCAACACGGATGGGAACTTCAGATTGACAAAAATATCCGTGTTAATGTCATGTAATGCAAAGTGTTTGTCAAACTCATTCCAATACTCCGCAAAAAGATTTTCTGACCAACAGCTAGAAGTGGTAAACTGGTTCACACCAGGAACACTTAGTAAGAGGAGAAAAAAACAGGGTCGACAAAGGTCCTCTGCTGAGAGCATCCCCCTTCCCGCAAAGAAGTCAGATTTGGCTCACTTGGTTTCGAAGGCTATGCGATTTTCTTCTTGTTTTGCCTTCTTGTAGTAAAACGGAAGCCAGAAGTCACTGGAGGATGCTATTATGTTTGTATCTTGATCTCACCGTGTCAATCAAATGAAAAGCAAGAAATTAAATAAATGCATCGAAAAACCGGTGCCATTCATTTACCGATAGTTCAGCGCACTCTTTCTAAACCGATAGCGCTCAGGATCTTTACCGGAATTTGCTGGGGTCTACAGAGGAATTGAGGGGCCCGTTAATTAAACGTGGGATTTATACCGAAATAGGGTCCAAATTTATACTGGCTGGCTAACCCATGTTTTTCTGAGGATTTTCTTCCATCGTAAAAAACGAATCTTAAAAAATTAGGTGAGATACTTTTGAAAACATGCGCTCATAAGTTTCAGAAAGAAATACCCCAATGCCCGGCGTTCCGTATCCACAAGCTAGGCATCGTCGACCCCGTGGTGGAGGCCAGAAGGGTAGATGAAAATGATCATGCATCCGAACGAGCACCTCTGATCGCGTCAGGATTTTAATTTGAACGATTAAAAACCATTCCGGACTGTTTATTTTACCAGGGTGATTTTCGGCCCCATAATCGGAACGGATTAGCATTTACAGCTGCTGCTAATTGTTCGCAGTGCGGCACTGCGAACTCGTGGCGTAATGGTGAAATCTGTTTCTCCTGTTCCTGCAGCCATAAGTCTGTCGGAGGATGACTTCTAACTGATGATACAAGTGAAATATTCGCCCAGTTTAATTTTGAAGCTATAGATGGATCTTAAAACACAACTTCAGAAGCATTATTTCACGACAGATTTTTTCATTGCGCACCTGGCGCCCGTTGCCTGGCGTTGATTGGAGCGGCCAGCACCGTTCCCTTTGACAAATTCTGTAACCACGCGAATACGAGTTCTTGCTGCCAATTATTGCGACTCTGCAAGTTCAGACATTTTCGAATAATTTGTTTCACATGTTGATTCTGAGAAAGGATGTAAATTTCGGAACAAAAATAGTTTGGCCGTGCCAACACATTTTGAAGTAATTTCGATCCTCTGCATTGAACAGTAAGGAGGCCCCTTTCTTTTCCCGGGAGAGGCGCTCCGTGAAAAGAACACTACAGGGCACACAACCTTTCCCGGTCAGGGGCTGGTGGGCTCTTTCGTCTCAACAGACAACTGGTTGATGGCGTCGCGGACACAAGGTGAACCTAAAAAGATAATGTGCATGCCCATTTGCATACCTGACATTTCTGCAAAGTTTCACCTGTCTTCGCAACAAAATTTTTGCAGTCTGTCTGGCAACAATGTGGTAGGGTAAATTATCCGATGGATCGCATCGGCGTACCTTCGAACGTGACACCGCAGAACAAGCAACAAGCTCCACGTAGCTCCACGTGTTAGGATTTGGTCGCCAACTTTTTATAAGAATATATTCACTTATTTTCCTCTCTATTTCACATACAGTGCTCATTATAGCCGATTATGCGAACGTGATATGTGCCTTTATGTGTGGTGTGTGTTGGCTTAAAATCGCTTACATACATAAGTGATGCTTGACACGTAATGCGCTATGCCTGTTTAATTCAAATCGCTTGCATGTATAATTGATGAGCGGTGTATGGTGCCTGTCAACTTCAACTCGCTTGCATGTCTCCATGAAACGTGATGCGTGATATCTATTTGCTTGAATTCGTTTGCATGTACACATATGCTAGCGTATTCTAATTCTTAGATAGACACTGTGTCGTGGTAATGGATGGCAATCGCTCTTTGTTCAATTCCCTGGATGATGGTGTCCTGTAAAAGCTGTGGCTTGCTGTTAAAAAAAAACTGAAAAAATCGAGTAGGACCATAGACAACTGATTTTGAATTCAATTCTGCTACTGTTTTGATAGAGGCATTTTGTCGAAATATCAACCCAACTAGATCTCCATTCTCTTGGTCTTTCTCCGAGGAATGAGGCTATTGCTACTGTCTTATCTATGTGAATAAGAAAACCTAAAGCTCTCACATGCACCACCTTTGCTGTTAAAGGGAATGTTCCATATTTGAAGATATTGCAGGAGGCATCATATATGATGAAATAAGGTCACGTTTACTGTTGGTGTACTTAAAGTGGCTAATATTGCTCTAAGCAACAACATTTCTCTACTTAATAGGTATGCTCCGCTATGCGTCTTTGTTTGATTGCCTCATCGCACTTTGCACAACAGTGATTGAAAACCAGTTGACTGCCGTTACATCTGGAGATCGTAGTCACAAGCGCCAAATATGAACGACTTGAGAACCATATTTGTATTGGCATTGATCGCCGCATGGTCAGTGGAATGGTAGGATTCCAATGACGTTATTATGACGTCATGGATGTTTGGGTAAATTTGAAACAGCATTCACGAAAGAGCCCGGACGTCTTCGTGGGCGTGTAGTTCAGAAACTAGAAGGGCTTAGGTCTTAACATGGGCAAGGCTGTTAACTGCACCGAATGATCTTCAAGATGCTATTTGAGCTCAAAACCCCGTACAAATGTGAAATATTCCTTCTGATGTTTAGAACACTAAGATGTAGCAGAAGGCTTACACACATTCTGCCACCATTTTTTTCTGGTAAACCAGTCCAGATTGGGATGGAGTTTGCAATAAGATCGGAAAGGCGGATTGGCGCTGATCAGATGTATCCTAGCCGGATCGGACTGGACTGGGCCCTGATCATTAAATCCTTGGAAGGCATCACCTCGAGAACAACGTCTCGAGAAAAGACGTAGCACAGACACCTCGTCCGAGCTGAGCCAGGTGCACTGGTACCTGATGTCTGTTGGCAGCATTGCGCTGAGAGCCAGTACTCACTGGCGAAGAAGCAACGCCCCTCGCCGATACCGGGCCGCACGATGGTGTCGTCAGGGATGACCGAGGTGGGCGCGTAGTTGAAGAACGCCAGCAGGCCGGTCATCACCAGCGGCACGCCCCACGCGTACAGCGAGTGTCGGATGAACCGGTGTCGCAGCGACCGCTCGGACGGCGGCTGCGCGCGCAGGTGTCTGAAAACAGGGGGTCTGCTGTAGGACGTGACGACAATATTGGTCAGCGTGGGAATGAAGCAACATGACCAACCATATGGAACGAGGTATGCTGTGCAGCGGAGCAATGCTCAGAGCCGAGCCGCTGAGGGCTAGTGCTGTCTGAGGACCACACACTGATGGGGTTAAATGTTAACAATAGCAACGGAGAGGGAAGTGGGAAGCTTATTTGTTGAGTTTACAACATATAAATGCGCATGTAATGTTGACAGCTAAATGGGTGGGTGAGCTAATCAACCGCTCAGCAATGTTTGAAAAGAGCTTTTGATAATTGTCTAGATCTGCGGGAGAAAAGTTTTGCAAAATTTACGATGACATCAAAAAGACTAGCCTCACCAAAAAAATGTCACGGTTATGCGCTCGCTCTTATGCGCAAAGCGAACAGCAAGCCCATTTGAAAGGACATCGGGCTTTAATAGCAGGGACCCCAGGGGCAAATACAAATTGTTAGAGCCGTAGTGCTAACTAATTTGAGCTGTTCAGCATTTCCCCAGTCCCAGCTCGATGTCTGTAGCATCGTGCACCAAAGCACATGCTTGTTATCCGATCTTTAGGCAGTCGAAATTCAATTTTTATCTGTTCAGAATAAACTCTGGATACATAAAATTTCGTACAAAGCTTTCAGATTGCCAGAAATGGGCAATCGCTCTCGTATCCATTATGTTTTAAGTACAGCCTACGCATGGCAACTATTGTTTAAATACCATAGGCATTATTTACGCATGCATTTTTTGTGCAGGTGTGTTTGCATTGCACACGGGTGCCTTTTTAAGCGCTGATTTGAATATCGCCTCATATTTGGAAATTGCGGGAAAAATTGAAAACCACGCGGTAATGTACGTTTTATCAGTTGTGTTTTCATGTACTGGCCATTAAGGCGTAATTAATCAGTTTAGCGCTTTAGCATGATTTACCGTACACAGTGACTAAATACGATGCTTTCGGTATCTATCCCAGTGTATCACGCCTTTTCATGAGCTCGTAATGTTATCTGGAACGTAGCGTGCGTCGTAGTTGCAATGCTTCCGGTAGGTATCGCTAGTTGTTCTGTGCGGCGCGTGTCCGCCATCGGCATAGGTTCTTCTCCAACTTCTCGGCGCAGTCGCCAGGAGTTCGACGTAAAAAAGGTTAATTATAATTATTTGCAGGCCATCCGAGACACAATATCCCATAGTTAACGTCGATTGATATTTCCGTTAGAAGTATTGCTATCACCAACAACGAGAGAATGCCGAAGAATAGCGCGGCGAGAAATAGCGGATAATTGATGGCATTCATGGATTTGTGATTAAACTTAATCACGCAGGCTGCTGTTGCTGTTACTTGCATTGTTTGCACTCACTTGGGTCAGCTTCGTACAACCGTGTTGGGATGTGTTTGGATTAGATTGTGACAGGAGTGAACATCCCAGCCCAGAGCTTATGGAAGGGCAAAATATTGACGAAAAGTTTGCCTTTTGTTTGCATGTTTGAGAATCACTCCGACAAGCATGTAACCAGCAGACCATATAACATCACTGTAAATATCCCCAGGTTTTGTTCGTGCGTTTCGTTTTGGATGTGGTTGCAGGCATATCGGTGCAGCTCGATGTTGCAGTGACCCAGGACCAGTAATAATTTCTTTAAGAAATGTTTCGTTGATCTGGTGAAGATCGCGTTTATTGGGGGAGTGCTCCAGCTACGTGATGTTGCAGGGATGTTACCACAGCATCTGTCACGTAAGAATAATCCACTTTTCGTCTGGGCGAACGTTCAGCCGCAACATCTCATCATCGTCACAACTGTCGGACCAACATGATAACTCAGCAGCTGAGGAGCTGGCAGAGCTGCTTGAGGAGCTGATGGAGGCTGCGCTGGCTCGGAAGTGGCGTCAGCAACGGAGGCTGCGACACGACGCTTTCAACGCCCATTTTTGTTCCCTCCAGCGCTCTGCCGTAGCCTAATCTACTTTGCCGATATAGTGTCGCCGGCTCTTTCGCAATAAATGTCAATATAAATGTTGTGATATTGGGATGCTCAGGTGGCACAGTGCGCTTCGAGATGTCAAACAGCGGAGCCATACGCAAGACAACAAATGTACGATCGCACTGGTAGCCACGCCTCCGCCCCACTTACTCGATATTCCAAGGTCGGTGGTCTCGTCTTACACACATGCCTTTCCTTTCGTGGGGATGGATGCATTGGTTCAAATTTCGATCACGTCGTCACCTAAGTTTCTAGTGCAACATTTTATGGAGATATGCTTTTCGTCAGTCTTTTGTCCTCCCATTTCACTCTCAAGTTTAATACCTCACAGGGTTTTGTGGCAAACTGGGTGAGAGGCAGCCTCATTTTGTTTCCAAACGGCGTACCTTCCATACAAAAGGCTGCGACCAGAAATAGTGTTTAATGAGCTTGTTTCTACGCAAAATCGCGCAAACGCGGGTGCGACGGTGCTACCCGAGGCGAAAATAACAATGGAGGCAGCAGACAATCGACGTGACGGATCAGGATCAGAGAGCCAATGTAGCTGTCAAGTTACTCGCATTTTCTTTCCGCATTACCTTTCATGGCCTGTCGTTGTTGGTGTGAAAACCTTTTTGGCTATGACAGAACTGCTACACGACGTTAGCCGTGGACATCGGATGGGTCTTTCGTCAAGGTGCATGTAACTGTTTTCACAATGTGCTGCAAAGTTTTAAAAAATTGCAATGTTTTCACGATTTTTTAGCATAGAATAAGCTCTCTGACAAGGAAATGATCGCTGTCATGTGATCCCATTAGCCTTGCATAGCTAACTGACATATTTTCGGCTAAGCATAAGTTTTTTAAGATGAAACTAGCTCGTTATGGGCGTGTTTTCTTTGGTCCATGCCCTTTGTCCACCAAGGGTTCACCTATTTCTGCGATAAAACTAGGCCTGGCAATCAGCCGTGTGGATCCGTTCAGGGTGTTGAATGCTAGAGCTGCTCATCATTGTTTACATCGACGCTATGTAAAACAAGGCGAGCTTTGAGGATCATTTAATGCAAGGCCACGCATCGTGAATCATATTCAGGCATGAAAACTCTGAAAATACAGCACACCTATGAAAATGGAGGAGGTCGGGTTTTCTAAGTCAATTCCGTCGTGTCTGCGTCAGACACGCCACTGATTTCTTTTAAAGTTGCGAAAAGTTTCGGTCGGAAGATATCTGCGCACATGCGGATGATCTCGCTTACAGCCAGACAATCGCAGTTTGACATTTTTAAATGCGTCTTTGAAACGATCCTTTTAAATTTCCGTGAAACATCTGCAGCCGAAAATCGCTGATAAAAGTTGTGAAGTTGAACAATGAAATGAGCAAGGAACAAATGGACAAAATGAACAATGAAAACAGTTCGAAGAGTTTTCAATAGTGTTGCACCAAAACCCAAGTAAAGACAGTCGTTATTTTAGTTCACCTCTCTTTCACGCCGACCTCCCGGCAAGAACCTGCACACATGGTGGCCACCAGGTGCACGTACCAACTGACGACACCTAACGGAAACACTGGAACTGCAAGGCGCACTCTGTTCAAAGTAACCTGACAGGTCATGGAAAAGATAATACGTTCGAGCTAACATCAATACCATTGTAAAGGATCGTCATTTCAGAAAAAAGATATTCACCTGCTTGGCTTCACACCATTCACACCATGGCTTCCTTAGGCCTCAGTCAGCATGATATGCAAAACAAATCAAGCTGCGAAAACTGAGGTCGCTAATCGACTTTGAATTTTTGGTGGATTTTTTCGGATAATTCAAAATTTGGGGCGTTATTTGAGATGAAAGCGTAACAGCACACCAGAAAAGACACATGAAGAGCAATTTTTTGGCAAAACGTTCAACTTCGTCTTCCCAATGGGCATGCCCATCATGTCGCTGCAGCGATATGTCGAGCCCAACAGTCATAATGTAGTGAGAACGTCAGCGGATAGCCGAATGAATATGTACTCCACGCAGTTGAGACAACTGCTAAAACATCAGGGGCATTGTTATCAGCGCGTAGGTGCTGTTAATGGGGCTGGGAATCGCTCGTTAAAATCAACCCCTCCGTTGCAGATTGTGGTAAATCCCCGTCTGAAAAAAATCCTGGCTGCATCCCCGATCACGAGTAAGCAAGGTGAAGTAAAAATGAGCGAGATCATGTGATATTCATGAATATAGAAATTATAGCTTGTAAAGCACCACATCAAATCGCGTACCACAAGGAGAGCATTCAGTGCAACCGATGCCGTTCGTGGGAACTATTCAGGCAGTGTGGTGATGAGCGAGGCGAGGCTATGTCAGTTCAGGCAATTTCCAAACATGTCATCGAGAAGCGCACCATTGTCTAACTGCTTAACGGGGTGGCTTAGCCGGTACTCATCGGCTGATGTTGGCTGTTCCAGTTTCTATCTCTGCACAATCTCGTTGGCAGCCCAGACGAAGCGGTCAGATATCGTCACGTGGGAGAGATACTCACGCAAAGGTCCACCAGATGTCGAAGCTCATCACGTTCAGCCAGAAGAGAGCAGCGTTGAACGAGAAGTACGCCCCAAAACCTGAGAATGTTGAAAATCAGGAAAGGGATGACAACAAAAAGTACCAAGTGACTGGTCCATCAAGTACTCTGCATTGTACAAGTGCATTTGTTGCACAATCGTGACTGTGGTGATATTGGACAACCGACTGAATGGCAAAACATCATGAGTAACAGCAGTAGCCATTAGTGATGCGACGCTTGTCAACTTGAGTAAACAAAAGGTGCTCCAGATGGCCTAGCTTGCAGTCCAGGATTTACAACAGCTAGGCCTGCAGCAGGTTGTCGATTGTCCGGTCGATTGTCCACGCTAACGCACCCCATCTTAAGTGTAAAGGCACGGCACGTCAGCCTTAAACTGACGTGCATTCCAGCGAAATGATTCTCGAATGAATCCAGTGAAAGCTGTGCAGTGTGCAGTGTGCCGCCCCGTCCCGCTGAAGTTACTTCTCATCCCGATTGGTCCCGTGAAGCTGTGCAGTGTGCAGTGTGCCGCCCCGTCCCGCTGAAGTTACTTCTCATCCCGATTGGTCCCGTGAAGCTGTGCAGTGTGCAGTGTGCCGCCCCGTCCCGCTGAAGTTACTTCTCATCCCGATTGGTCCCGTGAAGCTGTGCAGTGTGCAGTGTGCCGCCCCGTCCCGCTGAAGTTACTTCTCATCCTGATTGGTCCGTGAAGCTGTGCAGTGTGCAGTGTGCCGCCCCGTCCCCGCTGAAGTTACTTCTCATCCGGTTAATCCAGTAAGGCTGTGCAGTGTGCAGTGTGTCGCCCCGTCCCGCTGAAGTTACTTCTCATCCCGATTAGGTCCCGTGAAGCTGTGCAGTGTGCAGTGTGCCGCCCCGTCCCGCTGAAGTTACTTCTCATCCCGATTGGTCCCGTGAAGCTGTGCAGTGTGCAGTGTGCCGCCCCGTCCCGCTGAAGTTACTTCTCATCCCGGTTAATCCAGTGAAGTTGTGCAGTGTGCAGTGTGTCGCCCCGTCCCGCTGAAGTTACTTCTCATCCCGATTGGTTCCGTGAGGTTGCCCCCGGGTCGCCCTGACCGGCATCAGAGGGGTGGCGTGGCGATGCCGCACTCTGAGGTGGCGTTGAAACCTTAGCTGCTCTTGTATTCAAGGTGCATATTCCGTAGCCATTACTAAGCGTATGTGAAATCACTGATGACTACCATTGTTGCTATCACATTGTCATTCAATGGTCATTCGAACGCCATCGCAGCCTTTTAAGACGCGAGAAATACATTTGGCACTGTCGAGTAAAATGCCGGGTAACTATTCTGGGCCACTGTGTATAAACTCGATTTCGCATAGACATCCTCGGTTGCGAATTCTTACGACTTCTGTGCGAATCTGCTACATTTCTCACGGATTTTTTTTGCATTCGAAGATATTCAGGCACACATCAGGTATGATGCATACACTCACTTGTAACTATTGGTGTGGCTGTAAGCACGGGTGTCGAATTGTATTCTTTTAAGGGGCCAATGCCCCTCATCCCCCCCCCCCCCCCCGAGACAAAGCAAAGAAGCGTACTAGAACGGGGCTGTACTTCCCTATTCAGTTGGGAGATGCAACTCACTGATGTTATGGGAAATGCAGGTTAAATCAGGAAACAAGCCTGCTTTTAGCGCATTTAGGGTCAGGTTTCCCAGCTCAGTTTTCTCCCCCCCCCCCTCGGACCCAATCCAATTTTGCGAAAGTACGCCCATGTGGTGGAAGTTTATTGACCGTAACAAGTAACGGCTTTACCACACCAGCTTACTTCAGGCCTGGGACTAATGACTCACTTCCCAGCGGGGACAAGCCTTTCATTAGGAGGAGGCCTTTGTCAACCCTGTGCCCTCCCCCGCTATATCAAGACTCTGACTGTACACCCTTGCGCGGGTGAGCTCATTGAGTATCCTGTACGAGTAGGCAAGTATAATGCCATGGCCATTTAACGGCCAGTTCAACTAAAACGCTTTTACAATCAGCCTGCATTGCCTAAGGTAAAGTTACGACAGGAGTTTCCTTTGCCACATGTTCGAACTGAAGCAAATGAGGGTCATTCTCCTTTCAGAGACACAATAGCTTAGAACAGCGACCCCAGAAGTGCAGAGGCTCGCGACGCGTGTTTTTAAACGAGCGGGGAAAAGACGAGTTCAACAGGAGGACATCTACCTACGCGTATTTGGGAGGGCTGATGACATTGTTGTGAAATGATGCGTGGGGAAGCGCCAATGCTTTGTTTTACATTAACTGAAATGCTTATGTTTTATCGATGACATTTTGTTATGTCCAGAGCTTGTGTGCAACCGGGTTGTGGCAGCCGCATTTACTATGTTGCTTGCGCTACTATTGTGAGTACAGAAATAAAGAAACCGTAAAGTATCTAAGCACTAGTTAGAAAGCGAATGCGCAGATTTTACTTCGAATATGGTAGAGAGAGGTGCAACTGCATTCCTTCAGCTTCATCGAACAGGTGCGTTCAGAAAGAAGCTGATGCTAGTTTTCAGGATATATATATATATATATATATATATATATATATATATATATATATATATATATATATATAACGAAGCAACCAGAACATAGGTGGACGACATCTGGCACATTTTTCATATCTGTCCCCTCATGACGACTTCCACAACTCTGCCCCCCGAATCATTGTAAAAATATACACTCATGGCTTTTAAAGAGATTGGTCCATATTTCTATGGGGCTTTGAACTGAAATTGTGTTCATGAAGATGATTTGGTGCGGTTCGCAGTCCTGTCCCTCTTGAGACTTAAACTTTTGTAGTTTCCGAACTGGATGTCTGCCAAAACGGGAGGACGTTTTCGGCGAGAGTATTTAAAGATCACCTTGGCATTTTATGACGTTATAATAATGCCAAACAAATCCTGGCATTCTATCAACTATGCGGTGATCAAGGCCAATAAACATATTGTGAGTGAGTCGCTGGTATCAGGCGTTGGTGAACATGATTTACCGACATGACGGCCGTCAATTAGCTCCCAATCAATGTTGTGCAAGGTACGATAACGTGAGCAAACACAGTCCTGAAGTATAGTGTAAGTAAGCCCTACATATCGTGGTGCATATTTACTAAACAAAGAAATTGTGTTGTCTAGAGCCCTTTTGTATACTTTAACACGCGCTTGGGTGGGGGATCAAGTTGACCCCCTCTCGAAGGTTTTTCCAAAATGGTTTTCGAACGGCGTGGCGCATCCGCGCCAAATTTTGCGTAGCTGTAGACAATTTTTTTAGAAATTTGATCCGAACCCTTTGAACGGATGGATTTCTGGGATCAGCGCCCACGCTAAGCAGTGCTTGTTGTGTGAGCCCTGACCCCTACCATCCGATCGCGCAATTCCAAGCAACGGCAGAATTTAGTGGCGAAAGCTTAACGTGCCGCAATGCTCGGCATGGTCCGTCCTGCCCTCTGACGTCAACTGACCGTTAGTGCGACCGCTGCCACCGGCCGCAGACCATACCTGTCAAGGACAAATAGCGAGCGCATAAAGCGACTCGAACCCACCCCGCCACGGGTGGGTGAATCGGGAGGCAGGCGCTCTAACCAACTGAGCCACCGGGACGGACGGGATGGACGGACAGACGGACAGTTGAATAGCAGATTGTTCTGCATCAAAAATTTAGATTTACCTTGTAAGGTAGCTGATCTATGGCAGGTCAAAATCAGGCCATGGTTTCAGCAAAGCTAATCTCTAGGGAAACGTTCAATATGATGCAACAACGGAGTGTTAGACGAACCCTTTATCTCTGAGATGCTTTCTTAGCCACACAAACATTAAATGAGCAAATTGCACTGACCTAAGGTTAGGTATGAAGGTCAGACCAAGGTCAAAACCAGCCCGTTTTATTACCCAAGGGTATGGGATAGTGCTTGCTGCATGGGATAGTTTTTGGTGCTCATTTCGAATTTATTGATAGCAGGAACCACATCTTACATCTTCCATGGAATTTGTAGCGGTCAAAATAGGTCATTGACCTAAAATGACTTGTGTCAACAGTTTTCCTTTAGGAACACACTGCCTAGCATAATCTTTGTCGCTTATTGGAATGCAAAACTCAGGGCAGTCTTGCGTGAATTTGGTCACCCTAACCTTCAAAAGGTCAAACAAGGTTACTGGGCTCACATGAGCATGTGACCTCTTGCTTAGAAACAGTTATCTAGGTTCTGGAAGCACTTTGGAGACCAGCCTGGAATTCGACCTTGCTTGACCTTATTTGACCCAAATGTCACAATCTAGGAACTGTAAACTTTGACCTAAGTGAGGACATGTACAGGGCAACACACTCTGCAAATTTGGTGTCTCTAGCTTTCTTAGTCCCTGAGATTTCAGGGGGTCAAATTGACCCCCACACGAGCGAAAGATTATCCAGCCGGCCATCCGGGCGCGTGTTTAAGTATATTTATGGTTATAAAAGAGGCTGTTTAATCATATCTGATGTTTGCCTTCACTATACGACATCTATTTTTCTCAATACGGCATCGTTTGATTACGTCATGGAGCGTTTGCATCAGGCCAGGGTTCCTGGCAGACGGGCCATGTCAGAATTGTCACTGAAGCGGACGGGCTGATTCATTTGCAGTACTTCAACCTTCTGAGAGGTGGCTTGTTAACTGGTGCGTGTTTGCTGAACCCTAATATCGTTACGTGTGCGCGTTTTTGACATGTTCTGATAGAAGTGTCGCATTTTTGTTTGGATAATGCATTGTCTACTTGCATTCACGTATTTGGTTACGGCACTACGCTTTAATTATTCGATCCGCAGTTTTATTTCCGTCATAACTAGCATACCCCTGACAATATTTTCCTATTACGTAACACAAAACGTGATGCGTATGAGAAACATGCACTGAACGCCTTAGACTGGTTGAAGGCTAGCTGCTATCTGTTGATGCCAAGAAACGTGCTGATATTTGTCAGGCAATTAAATACTTATATTATACACACACACACACACACACACACACACACACACACACACACACACACACACACACACACACATATATATATATATATATATATATATATATATATATATATATATATATATACAATACAGTAAAAACTGCCTGCCATTTGTCAGGCAGTTGAATAGTTCTAAGATCCCATTTGTTCCGACCTTAAACACTAGATGGATATTGAGGTGGCGGTATCTGCGTGACGTTTCTATATCCTCATGTATTTCTGGATGTCCTTGAAATAGGCAGCGCGAAATAGTCTGACAAGTCTGCGTGCGTCAAGTTCAGGAACAGTAGAGTTTGCAGTTCTATAAAGGGCAAGGCTGTGAATTCAACTGAACGATCTTCGAGCTGACTCTATCAGCTTTAAACTCCATACGAATGTGGAACGATCCTTTTCAACCGGGAGCTTGTGGCTCAGTCGAGCGACTTCACTCAGTGCTCCATGTATCCGTTCTCACGGAAAACAGGATATGCTCGAAAATTTATGCAACGTTTTTCCCACGCGTGCGTAGAATTGATTTCTTAGTAACCAAGGGGCATTCGCAACTGCGATGCCGTATAATCCTGGCAGGCATGAGTTTTCAAGATTTTCCCCGAACATTTTGATAGAATGCAGTTGAAGTAAAAGATGTGAAGTGCAGTTCGGTGGTGTACTTCTCATCTGGTTGTACCGCAAAAATGGAGGCGAGGAATGAAATCAGCACATTTTATGCGGTGTGCTCCAGAGTGGGAGAATATTGGTGTGACGTTTATCTACTTTTGATCGACAAATCTAATCATGAGTGCCGCTTCGAAATGTCGAATGCGCTCAACATAACCAATCTTATTTTGATAACATCACTCAAACACTACATCCTGGCACAGTGAAGGTCGATGATTTTTAGCATGAGAACTCCCAACTCCTCATCCCAAAACACCAAGATTCAGTGCATTTCTGGCTACATAAACTTCCAACACGCGTCAAAGCATCGGCCACTATTTGTTGTTGGACCGACACTGTGGAAGCCCGTTTTCGGGTACCAATTTTTGCCTACTCTTTCCTTCCAGTTATCGACATTTCCATTGATCCCAAGGTTGATTCTATGTTTTTTATGTGGGTTAGACACCATTTTAAGCTGTTCACAAAAAGGTAGTTTCACATCGCCTTTAAATGAGAATGCCGACATCCGTGGAGGAAGCGACTGGTAGGCAGGTTGGTTCAACCTTGCCTGCTTAGCCTACCTTCCTCCCCCAACCGATTTCGTAAAGCCGCAGCTGTGTCCCTGCATAATGCGTATGTGTACAACACACATAACACTGCATATAATTGCGCTCGGACTAAAGCAGGGAACAAAAAAAGACGACGTAAGTTTAACAATGTAAGTAAAACAAGTTGAGATTTATGTCGTTACGTCCATGATTTCATTATAAACATGTAAGGCTAAAACGCTCGATATTCGTGGCCTGGTAGGATCAGTTATCAGCCCAGAAACACAAAACTCATTACCAGTCACGAGTTCTCGATGATCCGAGCGAGCCCATCCTCTCTTCCGCACGTTCTTAGTTTGCAAGCGACAGTGGCGGGGGGGGGGGGGATGGGTCGTAAGGCCTCTCCCCATCAGCCTGCAGTTTTGAAAAACGGTGGCGAATCAGGGCGAGGATTAAATCGGTGTTTGGGCTATCAAGCGAGCTATGAGCTCCTAAGACTTTAAGTGCCAGCATGTACTCCGGAGCATTAAGTCACATCCCCTCTACGGGTACCCGCTACGGTAAGTTCAAAGCAGTCTGGAAAAAAAGTTTTCAAGCCACAGGTAGGTTAATGCTGGGTGAGCTTAAATTCGGGTGCGAGTTGAGAAGGGTCAAATCGTTTTTACGCTTTCATCACGGATGTGGGAAACCGCAGGTCAAAATCATATTTTATGTCTTAAATTTACGCATTATTTGAGAACTTATCTTAAAACTCTGAGTGATTTGTGCTCAGTGGGAATGTGCTCACCAAATACATCTACTATTGTTTTTGGTGTATGTTTTTCACCAGTGTCGTAAAAATCTGAAAGTATTTACTATGCCTCCTTCGATTTCCCCTCATTGCATTGCGCTGGTGTTAGGAGCAATTTTTGTTGGCTGTTCGGCTGACAGAGTGCACTGTGACCCAATAAATGAATCCTCAAATGGACCTTACTATTATGTCTAGCCCTTGGTGGCACTGACGTTGGTCGCATCGTTTCTCATGAGTGTTTTTGCGCCCGTCACGAGGCCAATCTGACAGGCTGAGTTTCTTCATGCCCATTCATCAAGATGAACGGACAAAAGCACAGTTTTGACTTTCAACGTTGAAACATGTCGAGAACAACTCCATACCACTTTTCCCGGCAGCGTATCTTTAAGTGGTATGTAACGTGCTTCCGCTGCATTCCACAGGCTCCTAATTTTGACATGCGCGGAAAATAGGATAAACAGGGGCTAATCATACTCCTCATCGTTCGTCAGGCCCTTTTAGAGGGCCTGAAAAAATGACTCTGGAAGCGTTTTTGCTCTGTCATTATGTACCAATCGTCATTCACGTTAGTGGGGTACCATCGGACTCGGACCATCGGATCATAAAGTACCGAAAGAGGGAAATGACGAATTGGCACATTCAATAAAACGAAGAGGTATCTGAATCGAAAATTTCCTTTTTTTGCATGGCCCTTGCAACAATTCATGGCCCTTCTTCTAAACCGCTATTTCGGGTACTTCCAATGTGGCTCCAAATTAGGCCCCTGTCGCATATTTGCGTGGAAAGGGCCAATGTGAACTTCCTGCCACTCTCTTTTTGAACTAGTTACATAATAACTACTCATTGTAAATAGTATTTGTGACACCCACTTTGCAGATCGAAAATCTCCCACAATTCCCCTCACGCGACACCCATGCACAATCGTAAGCTTTAGAAGTTTCAAAATCGTTAACCATTTGTAGCGTATTATCCACAGATCTGCACACAGCGATCGCATTGTGACAAAATGGTTCAAACGTCATTGACTGATTTGCTCAAACCTATAAAAGAGCATCTCATGTGAAGCGCTGGACAATGCGCTGCCCGGTATATCGAGCCCTTTAAGTCTTTACATTCCCCGGTGCTTCCCTGCTCTTGTTGTAAATTAGGCAACTTTACCCATCGGCATTGCTCGAAATCACTTCGATACATGAATGAAAGTAATACAACACTGTAGCGTTATTCTCACCTAAAGCATCGCAGCTGGGGCCCTCTTCAACGGGGACAATCTGGTTGTAGACGGTGAAGAAGAAGGCGGCGAAGAGCGCAGCAGCGTGCGACATCAGACACTTTCCGTGGATGTTCCTCAGACAAGGCACTAGCATATAAATTGCAAGCATGACGAAGAGGCAGATGGATGACATGATTAGAAGGATCTTTTTCACAATTTCCATCAGTTCTGCTTCTTTGTCATGTGGCTGGCAGCAAAAGGCTAATGTATGTCCAGGAGAGTTCAAGCTTGCGGGCAGGTTTTGGATACTCCCGGAATCGATGCAGCACCGGTGAACCCCGAAAGTATATACAGTTCCATTCACACGCAACCCTCCGTTTTTCTGTAGCAATGGAGTTGCCGATCTTGATCCGTTAAATACGTGAATTTCGCCGTCATCACAGTTAATCTGGCCATACAAAACCTTATGAGCCACCTGACCACGGAACAGGCGCTCGCCCTCATAGAATGTCGGCTTCCATCGCAGGGTCGTGGGGACGCACTGGGAGTTGTGGAGACGAAAACCAGCTGCACAGCACTTCTGGACACAAACCTCATCTGTGCAGTGAGCTTCAAGCTGTTTTGGGGTGCGCTGTTTTGGCATGGTATGGCACACGGTGGCGAAAGGCTGGGGTGCCGATGTGGGATTGCGGAGATCATCCAAACAAAACAGGCCTGGCTTGATTGACAAATTGTATCTAGCGAGCAAGATATTGCCGTTTGACATCAAGAAGAATGCATCTTTTGATGCACTGGGTATAAGAAACTGCATGCTGGTGCCATTCGGACATTTAAATTTTCCTGGATCGGAAATGTTGGTCTTCTCGGCTGGCAACTGAGCCAGCTGAGTCGGATAGCTGTGAATCACGGCAGGCCGCCAAGGCGAGGACCGGTTCACGCAGACGAGGGCGTCCTTAGACACACCCATCATTTGGTCAGGCGGACAGCACTTCCGGACGGAGACACTTGGCACGCTGTCGATGCTGGGCAGACCTGCCACCTGCGGCACCGAGATCTTCACGCAGCTGCGCACGCTCTCGAGGATCTGATCATTAACCTCCAGGTTGAAGAAGCAATAGTTGAACCCCAGCGCAAAGGTGTTTTCAGCAGTTTGCACCTCCAGCTCCCCAGACGAACTTAACAGATACTTGGTGCTTTCATCTATGTGGAAACTGAGTGTTTTCAGTTGATAGCCAAATTTGCACTCCTGGATAAATCCTCCGATAATTTCGAGATTTGCAGTTGTCGTTTGATTGAGGAAGGTCGGCGCCCAATCTGTCGAACTGGGTGCACATTTTCGGCTTATTACATTTTCTCCCTTCTCACAGCAGGTCCGCACGCAGAACTCAGCTCTTGAACCCTGGCAGGTGGCGAAGCTGGCGTTGTTCATGGCTTCGAAATGCAGGAGGGTACCGTTCTGGATAACGGCTCGACTGGGCACACACAAGGCGAGCGACAGAGCACATAGCCCAACAGCTGCCGACCGCTTCAGGTGCATCTTCGTCACTAGGTCACACCGCGTGTCTAAAAGTCACTGTGATACTGATTGAAACATCGCCGCCTTCCGTCGCCGATGCGATGCGTTCCAACAATGCCACTGCAGAGTGAAAAGACAGCGAACTCTCCTCCGCCGGGTCCACCTTTTCCGCCAGAGTACGCCGGCAGTCCACCTTATCGCTGGGCGCCTTCCGAGCACACGGGAGCCCCGCACCGCGCGTCTGGGTCTCTAGGTGGTGACTGAGGTTCCGGCCACCAGGTTCGGCTCCGGAGCCGGGACGCTCAAGCCCCTGGTGGCGTCCGGCCGAAAACTCAGCCTACTTTGAAGTGCGCTGGTGTGGTGCACACCATGGCAGGGGCGGCTCGAGCTCGGTGTCACGCGCCCGGTCAGCGGAGCCGCCACCTGCGCCACAGGCACATGTACCAGCGGCGCTGCCTTTATCTGCACGAAGGTCTTACTTATTATCTATGCATGTTGGCACAAAGCTCGATATCGAGCTGAAGTGTCCAGTTCTTTCACGGTCGTCAGTGGCCGGCAATGTGGATAGGACTCCTCCGTCAGGTAGCACGAAGAGCTGCTGGTCCCTTGATTCTACCCAGGGTGGCGGGTTACCGGCTTTGTAATCGTCACGCCGGCGATACAAGACTTGCAAACAAAACCTCTCCGGTCGTATACCGACGTCAGTCTAGACTTGGATGAATGAGTACCGGCGAGAGGTAGGCAAAGCTTCGGTGGTGCTGGACGCGGTCCTAGCTTCCAATGCATGTAACGCCGGTTGATGTCTCTAGTCGCCAGCAGTGTCCCGGTGTTACTGGCCCGACACCGCTTCAGCTATCACCGCCGACCAATCACCGACATCGTCCACTATCACCGCCAGTCAATCACCGACACAGCTCCAGCGATTCAAATCCGGCCGCCAGGAACCTCCTCTGACCCCGCACTCGCCGGTAACAAAACGAGCCCGGTACTGGTTAAGCCACAGGTACTGGTAACATTACCACATAGTTCAGTACGCATTAGTTGTGTTGAAAAAGCTCGCAGTTTCGAAGCTTTGCTGATGATCATGAGCGCAGATTCGAACAAACTTTGAAGCAGAGTCTTCCCGATATTATCAATGCTTACTTGATAGTGCCGATTAACCTTCATCTCTATTAAGACGGATTTACTTCACCATGCGAACTCCCAACTCTGAATGTCGAAAGACCAGGAGTTCTGGGCATTTCCCGCTTGTATCGGACGACAGGGCTTAAAATGCGACGCCTACAAGTTTAGCCGTACCCACCTTTCCGTAGACGTCACATCTTACACTGACCTTGATACAAATATTGGCGCATTGGGGAAAGGCCTATTATTTTATCACTATTGTATTGCATGCCTTCGCTGTAAGGCTGTCTTTCAATGCTTCTAATCGATCCATCAGCATACATTGGCCAGCGCTGCTGGTCTTGCGCAATGACCATCTGGGCCGGGTCCGGACCTGACCGCGTCCACAAATGCCCCGGCAATCATGGCGAAGCTCCCGATGTCTTTCGCAGCATCATCAGCACCCGACCGCAGCAGCCCGTCATGGCCGACCTGGATGGATGAACCACCAGCCGCTCGGTGCCGTCACCAGTGGGGCCGCCGACCAGACCGTCCGAGGACAAGATGCAGGAGGGTGTGATGGCGGTGATAGGCCAAGTGCGGCCGGTTCGCCGAGGACAGGCACGCTGCCGCCGGCCAAGGTCGGCAGCCAGCAGTTTATTTACTGTAGTAAAGACGTGTTTGACTTTGGTGCAACAGCCGTCCGAGATTTCCTCGCGGTGTGGTGACTTCTACAGGTGGTCGGAATTTCTGCTGATGTCTGGTGCCGCGTGGTTTGGATGAGAATATGCAGTGTATTACCACGCTTATCTTGCTTTGGCATGTCTATTCGTGGAACAAAACAGCGTTTCGTAAATTGTTAGATACCTTGGATGATGCAGTATTCTTCAAGTACTTCACCTTTTTTAGAAGAAGAAAAATATCCACCGCGAGCGTTTTACGCGCAGTGCGGCACGGGCTCAACCAGCTCGCGTTAGCAGGATTGCCCGACTTTGAAATCATACAATCCAAACGACATCTTTAGCACCAAAAATAAAGAGCAGGCAATTAACATTATACACTACGTCGTTTCGACCACTGCTACTCACAATGCTCGCATGATTGCCTATCATCTTCAAGAAATAACCATCTGATAACATAATAATTTCGGCCACAAACAGGTCATATGATTTTTAACACGCAGCCGACGATTTATAGCATGTACTAAAAGGGCAACATAAGCACCAAATTACGTACATTCGAGCAATCAAGAAAAGCATCCCAGTTCTTCACATTCGTGTCTCGCATTGATGTTTCCAAACAGACAACACAGAGAAAAACCCAACAATGTCGGCGGAACTGAAGCATTTCCAGCAGTCTTAAAAAACGGACCAAGCCACGGGAACCAAACACCGAAGCCAAGCCAACGTTTTCGGTACGGTACATTGACGTCTATTAGCGCAGTGCATCTCATACACGAGTCCGGATAATGTGATTCACACTTATTAGGACCAAACACATCGTGACGACATTGTCGCTTAAACTACAACACTTGGATTCAATTAATATGACTACTCCGTTTGCCGTGACATGCTGCCATCATGTCGTGCAGAGGGACTGTCGTAGTACCCTCTTAAAGTAGTGCACCTCTTGTACGATTCCAACGAGCAAGGCTTGAAATCGCTCTGACATCTAGAGACATACTCTCCCGAGATAATATGCCAACAGCCACCCTAAGGAAACGGATCAAGCCTCGGGAAACGAAGACTGAAGCAAGGCCAGCGTTTTCGGTACGGTACATATACGTCTGTTAGCGTAGTGCACCTCACACACGAGTCCGGATCATGCGATTCACACCTTTAGAACTGAACACGTCGTGCTGACAATGTCGATGGAACTGCAAGACTTCGGTCCGATGAATAAGACTCATGCATTGCCGTGAGATGCTGCGATCATGTCGTGCAGAGGGACTGTCGTAGCATCCTCTTAAAGTAGTGCACCTCTTGTACAATTCCAACGAGCAAGGCTTGAAATCGCTCTGGCATCCAGAGACATACTCTGCCGAGATATTATGCCAACAGCCACCCTAAGGAAACGGATCACGCCCCGGGAAACGAAGACTCAAGCAAGGCCAGCGTTTCGGTACGGTACATATACGTCTATTAGCGTAGTGCACCTTACACACGAGTCCGGATCATGCGATTCACACTTATTAGGACCAAACACATCTTGCTGACGATGTCGGTGGATATGCCAGACCACGGTCCGATGAATAAGACTCATGCATTGCCGTCAGATGTTGCCATCATTGGCGGACGGACTGCAGTAGCACCCTCTTCAAGTAGTACACCTCTTGTATAATTCCAATTGGCGGGACCTAAAAACCGCTCTGACATCCAAAGACATACTCTACCGAGATAATATGCCAATAAAAATCCTAAGGATACGGACCAAGCCTTGGAACCGAAGACCGAAGCTAGGCCAGCGTTTTCGGTACGGCACATATGCGTCTATTAGCGCAGTGCACCTCATGCACGAGTCCGGATCAGGCGATTCACACTTATGGAAATTAAACACATCGTGCTGACAATGACGGTGGAACTGCGAGACTTCGGTCCGATGAATAATACTGATGCATTGCCGTGAGATGCTGCCATCATGTGCGGACAGGCTGTAGTAGCACCCTCTTAAAGTAGTACACCTCTTGTATGATTCCGATTGGCGAGACCTAAAAACCACTCTAAAAGGCAAAGACACACCCCGCCGAGATAGCATCCCGACACGAACCCTGAGGAACAAAGCCAAGCCCCGGGAACCGAGGACCGAAACAAAGGCAACGGTTTAGGTACGGTACATATACGTGTAGTCGTGCGGTGCACCTGAAACAAGAGCCCTTACAACGCGATTCACACTAAGTAGAAATAAACACATTGTGCCGACAATGTCGGTTGAGCTGCAATGGTTTGATTCAATGAATAAGGCTCATGCACTGTCGTGGGATGTCACCATCATGTGCGGACAGAGTGTAGTAGCACCTTCTTAAAGTAGTGCGCCTCTTGCATAATTCGTTGGCGAGACCTAAAAACGACTTTGTCATCCAAAGACACACTGTACCGAAATAACGTGTCAACAGCAATTCTAAGGGAACGGACCAAGCCCCGGAAACCGAAGACCGAAGCGAGGCCAACGTTTTCGGTACGGTACATATATATTTATAAGCGCAGCGTAACTTATACCATCGTCAGCAAGATGTGTTTAGTCCTAATAAGTGTGAATCGCATGATCCGGACTCGTGTGTGAGGTGTACTACTTGACGTATATGTACCGTACCGAAAACGCTGGCCTTGCTTCAGTCTTCGTTTCCCGGGGCTTGGTCCGTTTGCTTAGCGTGGCTGTTGGCATATTATCTCGGCAGAGTACGTCTTTGGATGTCAGAGTGGTTTCTAGGTCTCGCCAATTGGAATTATACAAGAGGTGTACTACTTGAAGAGGGTGCTACTGCAGTCCGTCCGCCGATGATGGCAACATCTGACGGCAATGCATGAGTCTTATTCATCGGACCGAAGTCTTGCATATCCACCGACATCATCAGCAAGATGTGTTTGGTCCTAATAAGTGTGAATCGCATGATCCGGACTCGTGTATGAAGTGCACTACGCTAACAGACGTATATGTACCGTACCGAAAACGCTGGCCTTGCTTCAGTCTTCGTTTCCCGGGGCTTGGTCCGTTTTCTTAGGGTGGCTGTTGGCATATCATCTCGGCAGAGTATGTCTCTGGATGTCAGAGCGATTTCAGGCCTTGCTCACTGGAATTGTACAAGAGGTGCACTACTTTAAGAGGGTGCTACGACAGTCCCTCTGCACGACATGATGGCGGCATCTCACGGCAATGCATGAGTCCTATTCATCGGACCGACGTCTTGCATTTCCATCGACATTGTCAGCACGACGTGTTTAGTTCTAATAAGTGTGAATCACATTGTCCGGACTCGTGTGTGACGTGCACTACGCTAACAGACGTATATGTACCGTACCAAAAACGCTGGTCTTGCTTCAGCCTTCGTTTCCCGGGGCTTGGTCCGTTTGCTTAGGGTGGCTGTTGGCATATTATCTCGGCAGAGTACGTCTTTGGATGTCAGAGCGGTTTCTAGGTCTCGCCAAT